TTACCTGATTATTTATTGAACTGCCGCGCATCAATTGAGCCTAATGGAATTTCTAATTACACGCACTCAACCACAATTGATTGAGCCTAATTGCTGAAACAAGTTTTGCGGCTGCAACTTGCCCAAAATTCAATACATTTTGCATTTTGTATTTTGTATTTTGTGTTTTGCCATTTTTCGCATGGCGTCGGCAGATATTACAAAGGCTTTATTTTAATTAAATTTCCATGCAGAACCGATCAGCAAACATCGTGGCCCAAATCGAACAATAGCAATTAAATTTTCAACAATAACATTCTAATAAAAATATATCTATATAAATACACACACACACACATATATATATATATATATATATATATATATATAAATTAATAAATATGTGTATGTGTGGCACGTCGCGCATATCGAGTCATGACTAATTTCATTACAGCAGAGAATATTACAGCGAGATTATGCATTATGCTGACACGCACATGGAAATTGATTTGCATTGGAGCAAATTGAATGGAAGTCAATTCGATTCAAAGCCCCAAGCCTCATGCGATGAGAATCTATTTGTCTTTACACCTGCTGCACAACTGAAATAATTCAATTACTTCAAATCGAAAGACCAACATTCAGGCTCTACTGGTCAACACTCGTGTTTGATTTAATTTTCGTAATTTATTAGTTTATGCTTCAATCGTTCCAATGATAAACTTTAATTGCTATTTACCGAATTTCAAATTGGCTTCGCTTGTGTTATTTGCGCAAGTGAGTCGAGAAAAAGGTTCAATATTTATGTTAATAAATATTAATTATTAATGAGAGGTGTATTGATTAATAGGATTAATAGTAATAGCACTGGTAATAAAATAGGAATGGTAATATTAATATATATTAAATTGTTTTATGTTATTTTCTGTAATTTTTACTAAGTAATTATTGACAATTTTTAATATATATATATATAATATATATATATATATTTTTAATATATATATATATATATATATATATATGTTTTCACATTTATAAATTCTTCACCAAATGTTTTTAACAGAAATGCAATTTAACATGTTAACAGCGGAGCTAACAAAAACTCGCATCTTAACAGCGAAGCTAACATAAATTCAACATGTCCCAAGCTGAGGTTTGTGTATTCAATAGAAAAAGCTCATCAATTGTGGAAGCTATGTAAAAACTGGTTTTCCTGCCTATGCCAATAATTAGAGTTATGAAGTAAATTGACTTAAACTAAATTATTAACTAAATGTTTACACTCAATTAGACACCTCATTGGATCGATTAACAGTGTTAGACTGAATCAATTTGTCCATTCACATTCATAAAGATTTTCGAGTGCCTCTAGATTGCCGGCATTCAGCCGTTGCATGCTGACAATTATGATAAATGGTTGGGTTGCCGTGCATCGGTGTTCTTGCTGCCTAATGTGGCATAAACTAAACGCAAACAACAACAAATGCAATCACAACAGAGTTTTGTTATTGCGACTTTTTCTGTGATAAATTATTTTGAAAAAAATCAATAGCAAAAGCAACAAAAACAACATTTAAAAAAAAACAATAAGCGTAAACTGATTCAATTTGAATATCAATTAATGGATATGGAGATTGAGTTTACTTAATTGTCGCCTTCTACTAATCAGGGAACACCAAATGCAAATATAAATAGCCATCAATCAATCAATCACAATTGAGATTGAAGCAGATATATTTCTCAATTAGAGCTTCATTTGTCTAACTAATATTAGAGTAGAGAGACGTGCTATCTGCCTTATGTTTATTTTTTAATATACACTAAATTGTTACGACCTTCAAATAAAACTAAATATTAGGGAATTTTTTAGTTTATATTTAGTTAACTTGTTTGCGAGACTAGAAATAGGATTCTTTTTATAAAGAAATATTCTAACAAAATAAAACAAAATAATTAAAATTCAAAATAGGTCAAAAATATAAAAATATATATTTGTTTTAATTGTGAGGCTTTTGAAGGAAAGTATTAGAAACATTCTTAGCCTGTATATTTTTTCTAACAATATAAATTTATTGTCTCTGACTTTTAAAGCCAGCTAATAATGCTTAAAATTCCAAACAAAAGGTATATATTTTTTGTTATATTCGGAATAAAGAATGGACTATTAAAAAAAAATTAATAAACTCGTGCAGCGTGCAGTAAATAAGAATATATATAAATAAATATATTTATACATCAAGTTAAAAGTCTTTCGTCAGAGAGGGACAGAGCCACATTGACTCGGCTTGTCCTCATAAACAGGAATATATAAATTCCTTAAGCATACAGCCGCTCTTCTTCCTGTTACATCAAATTGAAAAAAAAAAAACAATTAAATTCTGCTTAAATTTGCAATACGCTCAGGTTATTAAAACAAGTCCCAATAAAGTGTCTTGCTGCTTGGTACAACAGCTGCGACAAAAATATGTTCAAAAAGAATCAAACATGAAAAGTCACGCGAGTTCAATAACCTGAACCTTAACCTGATTATTCTACAAAAAAAAAAAGAAATACTCGCTAAAGCACGTAGTCATGAACATAAGTTTTTAGTTAGAAAAAAAAAAATAAAATAAAATAAATATATATATAAAAAAATGTCAAGTGTGAAAGACAAATTGTTAAAAATAGAGGCGACCTTCAGCTGGATTTATGGCATCAGAGCCGGAGCAGTCCGATTCGCGAAATTGTTTCAAGTGAAAGGCTTGAAGCGATTTGGCCTTAAAGTGCGTTGCGCTTAGCCAAATGGACATAAAGAACTGAATGGGCTGGGGCTTGCCTCGGCAATGTTTGGCTTTCGGTTATTGCCAGCCACACATAAGCGGATTATGCAAAAGAGCCATGAAAGATGTTACTCTGCTCTCGTATTCGCTCTGAGCTGCGCTCACTGCCCATCGCTGCCCAGTCGACCAGAGATGTAAAGCACCTGAAAATACCTGATTCAACAACAGAAAAAAGAGGCGAAAACAAACTGCGAAGTCGATCTGACGCATTGGAAAAATATTGGGGAAATACCTAGAGCAACAAGCAAAAATTGTTGCTCTAAAGCTGAATTCAGTGGAAGTGAGTTCTTCCTCTCTCCCAGCATCAACTACGTCAGCTTTGTTTATTTATTAATGGAAATCGTATACCAAAAAAACTGGTCCGAAGCAAATTGATAACTAAACATCTTTGTCTTTAAAGCAAGGGAGTTTTTGTGCCCGAGTCTTCAAGCAATTAGCATTATTACTAAACTCTGACGTCATCGAATTAATTATTTCGCTTTAATATAATCAGATCTTTTTGGCTTAAATGATTAATGACAATTGCATACGAAAATAAACTTTAACTTTTTTATATTTGTTTCTTAAATTATTCATATAATTTTTGGTTGCTTGCGGGTCAACGAATTTCGTGTCAATTGATTGATTGTTGCAAAGAGCTTCACGAAGTCAAAGAAATTATAGTTTTTACTTCAGAATATTGTTTATCTGCGGATATAATAGTATCGACGCTGAGGCTAAGACAGCGTGCGAGACATAGAATGAAAAAGAGAGCACCAAAAGAGAGACAGACAATAAGAGCGAGAGGCAACGAATGGAGAAGGTAAGAGAGAGATACAACTAGAGGCTAGCAGAAAGAAAAGACTGAGACTGAGAGAGAGGGAGAGAGAGAGAGAGAGTGAGAGAGGGAGAGAGAGAGAGAGAGAGAGAGGGAGAGAGAGAGAGAGAGAGAGAGAAAGAGAAATAGAGAGAGAGAGAGAGAAGTAGGGAGAGACAGACAGAGAGAGAAAGTGAGAGTGAAAGAGGGAGCAACAAAGTGAAAGAAAGTAAGAATGAGAGAACCAAAACAGAGCTAGAGAAAATGAGCAGAAAATATGAGTGAGAGGCAACGGATACAGAGGGCGAGAGAGATTTATGTAGAGGCTAACAGAAACACGAGATTTTCTCGCAGAGCAGCGAGAGCGAGTGCAAGAGAGAGAGATACAGAAAAAATACACATAAGGAAAGAGCGAGATACAAAATGATCGATGGAGACAGAAACAGTGACACAGTGAGATAAACAGCAATGATGAGGGGCGAAGAGACAGAAAGAAATATTATTGGAAATATTATGGCAAGTCAGAGAGAGAAAGAGATAAAAACATACATTAACTGTTGATAAAAGAAAACTTACGAATTATGAATGAAAGTTAGGTGATGCTTGATTGAAAATTGTAGAAGAAAAAATTTCTGAAAACTTGGAACTTAACTGACAATTTGCACAGTGTTTTATTCTTGTCTATATTTTGTTATCTGCGACTATTTTTTTTATCAATTTTTGTTTTCATTGAACGGAGCTAAAGTTGGTTGCAGAAAGACAGAAGTGTATAAGATAAACGTAGCCTAGGGAAAGAGCAATGAATATATGAAACTGAAACTGCCTCGATCAATCAGTCAATTCAGCAAATTCAATGCATTCACCGGCGGAAATGTGGCTGACTTTTGATTTAAAAACAGGTTCAATTGCGTTTTGTGTGGGGAGCCAAATTAAGCACTGGGCGTATGAGTAATCCGAGACAAATTGACTTGAACTTAGCCAACAACTGCATCTGAGACGCTCAGCTGCTCAGCTGCTTAGCTGCATCCCCTGGCTAACCGCAAATTGTGGTTGCCATCGGAAAGTTCGCTGAGTGCGGCAGTTTGTTGGCCAAGTTCTTAACTCGCCACGCCCAGCACTTGACCGAGCTGTGCAAGGCGTCACGATAAAATTAAAATTGCAATAAGATTTGATATGCAAAAAAGAAACATCAAAACGAAGCCAAGTAACGCAAATCAAGCCAATCGCCGGGGTAGCCCGACTGCCCCAAAACCTGTCTCGATCTGCCAGCTCGCCAGCTTCTCAGCCAGCCACTGAGCTAGCGGCTAGCACGCCCTCTTGTTGTTATTGTCGCATTCATTTCCATGTCATTTCATATTTAGAAGTTTGCCATTTCAGATTACAGCTCAGTTCGAAAGGCGGGCGACAGCGATACAGTACGGCGCGCAGAGCTAGAGCAGCGAGCGCAGCTCTTGTCTTATCATTCAGTTCGATATTCGACATAAATTGTCCATAAATTCCAAGTGAAGAGTGTTTTGCGCAGGTAACGTGTTTGCACAGTGTCATTTAATAACTTAATTGCCAAAGGCAGCCAACTAAAGTGCACAAATAAATAAATCATTCAAACTCTGAATAGCAAATATCAAGTTTACGCACGAGGAATATATATGAAAAACCTAAAGAAAAGTGATTAAGTTGAACCAATGCGGAAGCTGATCTGAAATATTTAACATGAATTTGATTGAAGCCAGCAAATAAGGCAGGGCTCAGCGAGCACATACAATATGCACGTGTTTTATTGATATTCATTTCCATATTTGATTTGGAAGCCGTCGTAATGCCTTCGAGTGGGAATGCCAATTTGCATTTAGCGCTACAGAATTGTTAAGCCATAGTTAATATAAGCAATTCGAATTCGTTTTTTTGTTCAGAAATCGCTTTAGCTGGGCAACTTCAGCACGTCGTATAAAAGCAGAACGCAAAGTAGAGTAAATTCCAGAGTTAAATCTGATTAAATATTTTCGATAGAGCATCGCGCAGTCAATCAGTGGCGACTTTTTCCATTTCATAATTAAATGATTCCTTGCCAGGCTGAAAATTACTGTTGTATTGGCATGCTTTAATTAAATGCACGCGGTTTTTAATCGAATAAGAGTCTTTTCCCAATGATTCGATGGCGTTTGCCTTGCACAAATAGCTGCAAAGGGATTTTGCCGAATGGAACAGCGCGAAAAGAAAACACCGAGAAGAGATGGCGAGAAATGGAAATCTGAAAACAAGAGAAAAAAGTGTATGATAATTGAAATGTGCGTGGGCGTGGCTGGGCGTTGACATTGGTGGCTTTGCTCTTGGCTTGCAGCGTACAGCATGAAATTGAGTCTTCAGGACAAAGTTGCGCAAAGTTGAAACTTTTTCAATTGCCTTTAAAGCATAAAGAAAGTGTATTAAGTGCGGTTAAATAATTGCGATTAATTTAGAAATTTTGCAATCAATTTGAGTGGCCAACTTTAGTTGAACGCTGCCCAAGCGAATGAACCTAAAAATAAAACAAATCAAGCTTGAAAATACAAATGAGAGGCAGAGGCAGAGGCAGCAAGTCTAAGTGATGTTGTCTAATATGCTATTACTGCTCAAAAAGTAATTTATTTAATTGTTAATGTATAATTTATGAGCATGGCGCTCATGGTGGGCGTGGCAGTATTGATTTTTCCCGCAGATGTTTGAATTTAAGAATTTAGCAATTCTGTCTTCATTCATGGGTGACTATTTGGAAGTGGGTCAAAAGTGTTCATCTCGTAGAATTTTGGTGACTGAAGCTGGCCGAATTAATGTCGCCTGATCGAGTTTTTGTTTGACTTCTATTTATGTAAAATTTAATAATCTCGCTTAAATGTAGCTTGAGCTTGACGCAGGTACAAAACATGCTCAATAACTGAAAACTGGTCTTCAAATACTTGGCAACTTTATGAATATTAGTATTTAATTAATTAATTAATTAGTATTGATATTACAACACAATTTAAACTCGACTACTGATAGCTCTGATTTAAGTACGCTCTCTCTATATTTATATATATCACAGATCTATTTGATGCACATTTAATATAAGTTTGAAGCACTGTTAAGTAGCCTTAAGTAAGGAGAGAAGATTGGACTGAGGCAGAGGCTTAAAGAGACGAACCTATGACAACTGCATAGAGCACACTTAGTGCAATGAAGATCACCTCTTGACAGTGAGAGAGTCGCTGCGATTGAGCTTGTCTCCATGGCCTTTATAAATGGAGTCGAACGTGGCACTAGCTGAGAGACGCTGCCGAGCTTCACTCAACTTATGAGAAGAGCAGAGCCAGAAAGTTAAATAGAGACCAACAGCAACACCTCCATGCAATGAGCTCAAATGTATTTCAAATCATTCAATTACTCTCGAAGTCATTTTCATGGAGAGCTCACTCGAACTCACTAAAGTCTCTTAGTAAAGTTTTCCGCTCATAAATCAAATTTCTGAACTCTCAACTGATATGAAATTTGACTCTTTGCATAGCAGCAGCATCAGAATCTTAATAAGCAAATTACTGAGGCATGCGCTCGTGGCTGATGTGATAAATTCTGAAATAATACTATTTCAGCTTTAATAAGGTCTATTTGCCTTTGGTTGACCCGGTCTGCCGCACGCTCACGCGAAACTCATTAAAATTCGAAACGGAAACGCAAAGTGTGATTCGTTGCTCGAATATCACGCACAGACACGGCACATGGCATATGGGCATACGTGGCATGTGGCAGGTGGCAAGTGGCAAGTGGCAAGTGGCAAGTGGCGAGAGATGACATTGGCTCCAAATTACACTTACACGCATATTGCAGCAAAGTCGCGGCCCGCTCCCACGACACGACCTTGCGCCGTCAGTTTTCTTTAGCGTGCAGCATGTGGCAAGCGTTGCCCTTTCAGGTGTATCAAGTTACGACTGTGCACGAGAGCTGGTGCGTGGAGCACGACTATCGTGAGCAGACATTGTCCAGGGCGTGTTCATGTACAGCACGACTCAAAGCCACAAAGCAACATCATTTGGCATTGATATTATTTCATTGAATTTGTCGTTTCGCTATCGCCAACAGACTTTGTCATAAATACATATTATACAATTGATATGCATTGTTATCTATTATTATAAGTATAGTTTATGCTAAGCGCCGCTGACCTTCGAGAGAGCTAACTTCGTCTTGCGTGAGGAAGAGCTGCGCGTGCTCTCGTCTCTAGGCCCAACCTATTGCAGTCTGTGCAGCAGTCTCCAGCTCATTTGCCATAAATAACATTTGGGATTTTGACGTCGCACACATTTTTTGCTTTTCTAAATCACGAGCTTATGACTCAATGATCATTGGCAGCAGCCAAATTGCATCAACTTTAGCCGCAAACACATCGATAGACGACGATAAGCCGTCAGCTGGTTGCTCCCACGCTCAGCGCTGCCGTTGCTTTGTTTTGGATATTTATTGCCAATTAATAAATCGTTCATTCCGGACAGCTGCTTATTGGCCACTGCAACATACTGACCCAAGTGTAACCGAAGCTGCGACTCGATGCATTTTTAGCTATTCAATTCGATTGCAATTAAAAGCTGCGCAGGTGAGGCATAGCCATAGGCAGCTGCTGCCCTAAAGTTTCTTAATTGCTTAAACATGACATAAATAAACATGATCGAATGCTGGAAAAGGGAAAGGTTGGGGCCAAGGCTACATAAAGTGAAGGGAACTAATTGAAAATTTAAATTAATATTGTAACTACATTTCTGTTTAAGATGTTTTAGTTTGTTAATGCAGTTGAACTCTACAGAATTCCCGTTCGCCTCTTTAATTATTAATTCAAATAATTAATTGCATAGTGTTTCGCTCTTTTTAATATATTTTACTGTTAATAATCAGCTTGAGTGTTTATATATATACATTAATTTATAAAGCAAGAGTGCTCTTGTCGGCACGCCCTGCCTCAGTTGCCCACTTGCCCAGCTTAGCAAAGGTCCAAAGGCAAGAATCTTACACCTGACCCAAAATGTTGTCCTCCTTCTTCTTCTTAAACTTACTTGATATTTACATGCAAAGGAACAGCCGTTGACACACTCATGGCACAAGTGTTGCCCCTGAGCCAAAACATAGTTTTTGGCAGAAAAACGAAGAGTTTTTTTTTCGACTTTGGCTGAAAGGCCACTAGGCATACGCAACGTTGCTAAGTACTCGATGTTTATGTGCATTATGGAAAAGTCTTTGCTGCAAGTTCATGGGCTCTTGCACTTTGTGTTTAATAGATTTCATGGAAATGGCAAGAGCAATAAAATTGAGCTGCAAGTTCTATAGAAAGACAAGGCGTAGAAGGTTAAACAGATTAAGAAACTGACTAAATGTTGTGGATTCTGCTGAGTTAATTATATGTCTTCTGGCTGCAATTCATGCTATGCAAATATTTATTTGCCAAATATTCGCATATAAATTTGGCAGCTCGACTGCACATTTAGTAAATTCAAATGGAAAATTATGTGAGCTTCGCTGCCCAGCTATAGCAGGCGTCTGCTATCTCAGCTGTAATGCTGAAGTACATTAAAATGGCATTAGTTGCGGCGCATCGCGAAGAAACTCAAACGACTTATGTAAGCTTAGTCAAGCTATCAAAGCGAGCACATTAAAAACTTATTCAAATAAAGGTGACTAAAGAACATATTTAATATTTCAATAGCCGCTTGTTGATGCCCTAGGGCACTAAAGACTCAAGCCCTGCCAAAAAATGAATGGCAAAATAAATAGCAGCCTGCACACAGTCACAATGCACATGAATATGCGCATGCACTTGCCACTCTTCAGTCAATCAGTCAATCAGTCAGTCAGTGAGTCAGTGTGCAAGGAAAGCCGAGCAGAAAATAGGCAACATAAAGAGCAGCAAAGCGGAAGCACTCTGCAAATAAAAAAATATGTACCACTTTTTGTGTGCGCACTTCAGCAAATGCAAACACACATGACACACACGCACACACGCGCACACACACGCACGCAGACAGCCACGTTAAGCAGCATCATTCGCGAAGCTGCAACTGAGCTATTGTTTGCAGCATCTTTAGATACCAGCTGCTGCTGCTGGCCTGGTCGATGGTGAACAGTGCTCAGAATGGTCAGCTGAAGTGTGCAGCTATTAAATTGCCACATAGCAACTCAATAATAGTAATAATACAAGGCTTAGACCTGGTTATCATATTTCAGCTGCAACAGCCCTGCATACTCATGCTCACCTTAAATACTTGACTAACTTGCACACATGAATGGCTTTTGACTTTTGTCTAACTTTAGTCTTGACATTTTGTGGAACACTTAACAAAAGTTTTTCGGGCTGCTAACACACATGAAAATTTGTTCAAGCAGCTCTTTGTGCTTTCAGGTGCCTCAAGCCTATTTGCAAATGCCGTTACAATCTACTCCAATTATGCTGTTCTGGCAGTTTTTCTGCATTCATATTTGAACTGACTTTGGCCAGAATAATTGAAATTGCCTTGGCCAATTGCG